CATGCGAGTGTCATTCTGAGGTCATTTTACTATGCAGCTTTATTTTAATTGACGCCACAGCTTTGGCCTAAATTTGAGGTTTTTCGGTCTCGTGCAACCAGTTTCTCACAATGTTGTTGTCCATCCTAGCCAGTATGTACTTCAATCTATCTGGCTTCTGACTTCAAGTGTGCTTTCAAGAGTTTTACAAGTAGGTGCCCATCGGCATCAATTATCTTCCCCCCCCCTCCCTGCAGCTTTGACGGATGCACGACTATTTCACCAAGACTGCGCTTGCTCGAGGTGCGCCCACTGGTCTTCCTATACATTCTTACTGGGCCAGCTTCTGAGATTATTGCTCTTAAAAAAATCAGTTCCTCTGGGTGTGGTCGTCTAGACCCCCTATCGAAAGCGTTGGGTTTACAGACTTCACTAGAAATTGAATCCGATCCTTAAGCATTACTTCATTTTAGGGCTCAAATACGACACGGACTAAAAGAGACAATACAAACACACGGAGCACAAGTTTCAACAAATATTTATTTCGAAAGAGCAGAGAACATATATAGACACCACGTGCACTGTCACCGTGCCTAAATGCGCATTCGCATTCAAGTACCTTAACTCTTTTGGCGATAATAAAATGGAGGCTACGCTGACGCATAGATAACCTAATTCGATTATTGTCTTGGCCTCAATGATTAGTCGTACTGATTTATCAGGGCACCGGGCGACTCCCGCGCAGGCACTCAAGTCAGGAATGCAAACAGAATCCCGGCAGTGAATCGCGAGGTTGGTGCATTATTTCACAAACGAAGGATTGCGCGAAAAACACAGCTCACTTAGGACAGACGCGACAACTGCTGGGCAAACCTACAACTGTTTTATTCATTTTTATTCATTCACTGCTTGATTTATTTTTCAGGTATCGTCGTCTTTATTTACCGTTTGCTGAGTTTTTTGCGCAATCATTCGTTTCCTAAACTTTACGCATTGTAAGTGGCACTTACTGCAGCAGTAAATAAATGCTAAAGCGTTTTTCTGCCCCAACGCTCAAGTTTAACAGTGACGGGGTTGCAATGTAAACCGAGTGTGGCAGCCACGGAAGGGCCAGGGTAGAGCAGCCCTATAGAGTGTGCTTGCTCTCATAAAAAATCAAGCATTGCGGGCTTCTCCATTGTTATCGACGTGCCAAGCCTCAACTATTGAACGCTATAAATTGTTCTTGTACCGGTACAAAATCACACCTTCGTTCGACTTCGACGTGAACTTACACTCTCGACAATTTAGGCATAGATAACATGGTTAGCCTCCGTTTATGGATTTTTTATGTTTCATTGTTAGTGGTAGTACATGCGGGAGCCAACCATCATTAACCTGCATACATGCGAAGTCAAGTGTCGGAGAGAGAGAAGCATCTTTATTAAAAACGGCAAGTTTCCGAGGAATTGTATCCTCTTCCCTAGATGGCAGCTTAGAGTCCTTGGGCCCTAGCAGCATCTTCGGCTTGCCTGATAACTTGTAGCTGGTCCTGGATGTTTGAGCTAAGGAGCGCGGTCTCCCACTGCTGTGCTTTGAAATATTTGGTGTTTGACCCATTCACGGTGTTAGGACTAGTTCCGGTATTGTGTTTGAGGTCCGCCCGCTCATTGCAGAGTTTACATTTGTCGGAGTATGGATCTGGATGTAAATGACTGTAAGCAATTGGGTTTGGGAAGGTTTTTGTTTGTAATAGGCGCCATGCTGTTGCCTGCTGTTTATTTAACGAGGAGTGTCGTAGAGGGTAATGCTGCCTCCCTAACCGGTTGCGTTTAGTAATTACGTCTCACGATCGATAGGGCTGCCTATTTACTGGGAATAAGCAAATATGTTTTCGTGTCTTCTATCTTTCCCCATGATGTGCGCCATTGCAGTTTTTAGTCGGTGTATGTGGTTTCTTGACTTTCCTGTTGTGTCTGTTTTCGCGCGCCCTGTCACCTTAACATGAATACTTACCTATTATCTTTGTGTCATTGTTAGCAATTTTTGGTTACACTCTCGGGCCGCAACAAGTCATTGTTGCGTTTTTTAGTTGATAATATTGTGAGTATTGTATTGAAATGTCGCCACGCCACGGTGTCCTCGGCTACGGACCCGCAGGTCGTGGGATCAAATCGCGGTTGCGGCGGCTGCATTTCTGATGGAGGCGAAAATGCTGTAGGCCCGTGTGCTCAGATTTGGGTGCACGTTAAAGAACTCTAGGTGGTCTAAAATTCCGGAGCTCTCCACTACGGCGTCTCTTATAATCATATGGTGATTTTGGGATGTTATACCCCACATATTAATCAACGTATTGAAATGTCTGCTGCACATATTTAAAGTTTACAACGTAGCCGCTCGGACAAGATCTTAATGTTGCAAAAGATAGAAAGCGATAATTTAAAGAACTTGTTACAATGTAGAAACAGTTAATTTTAAGCTTAGTTAACGGTATTTTTTACGTGATACCCTTTCTCCGTAAAACAGCAAAGTTAGAGGAAATCATCTTTGAACATTTATGGCGTCTGAATTTGATCGAGATATTATTGAAGCTTTTACGTGGCATTGGCTTCAAAAAGAAGTGAATGCTCTCATTTCATGTGTCAGCTCTATTGGTATCGTCTCCGTTTTTGCCTCGACTATTCCTTCCATTTTTTTCTCTCTCTGCAATTCAACGAGATCCGTATGATGCAACTTTAGACAAAGAAAGTGTCTTCTCGTGGCATGACAAATACAAAGAAGGTCTTTTTTTTTTTGCTGACTTCGAATCACTTGTAAGCGTGTGCAGGGTTCCCCTTCGGTAGGGAAGGGCTGTTCATCGCAATGCTTGCCGTCCATAATAAAGAGGCCCTGAAACACTTTTTGAAGTAGTCATGAAGCGAATACACTAAAGGAGCTTATTGCCCCTCGAATTCAGTGTTTACTTAGACAGTGATTACTTAGACAAGGCGGCTCGCTCATCCGATCACGATAAACACACCGTTCCAATTTTTCCCTGAAGAAGAGACGACGCAAGGCACATTCGTCATCTGGAACGTAGGCTATGTGTACTGGAGTGGAACGCGCCAAACATAAGACATAAGAGACTCCACCAAATAAACTCTGAACTGGAACTTTGGCCTCAACCTGGACGTCGTTGAAGTGACGCTGCTCTTCTTTGTAGGTTTTGGTTGGTGGTTGCCTTCACGAAAGGATGTGATTGATTGATTGATTTGTGGGGTTTAACGTCCCAAAACCACCATTTGATTATGAGAGACGCCGTAGTGGAGGACTCCGGAAATTTTGACCACCTGGGGTTCTTTAACGTGCACCCAAATCTGAGTACACGGGCCTACAACATTTCCGCCTCCATCGGAAATGCAGCCGCCACAGCCGGGAATCGAACCCGCGACCTGCGGGTCAGCAGCCGAGTACCTTAGCCACTAGACCACCGTGGCGGGGCCACGAAAGGATATGCAACTATATCTGTAGTGAACAGCAGTCTGGCATGCGAGGTGGGTGGCACCAAAGAAATAATCGTTCATTCACTATGGTGTCCTCTCAATTAGTCTCTGAGAGACGAAATATTTATGATGCGTTGCTGCAATTAGAAGGTTGCCGCTAACCGTGCAGATGCTGCTGGAGCACCGTCCTCGCCTTTAGTCGGCCCGTAAAGCAATGAAGGCCCTTTCGTGCTAGTTGAGGGCTACGAGCCTATGCCAATGCCTTTTACTTTTGTATGGTGCCACCATTACACACGTGTCAGCACATATGCTGACCATATACTTGTTTCTTTATCCTCCCTCTTTCTTTATTTCACCTTTATATTCGCAATTTTTCAGCCAACAGGGCATGCGCATTGTTTACCTCCGTGCCTTCTTTGTTTTTGTACTTCCTAGATTGTTCTAGTGGTAATGAACCATCTACACAAATTAATCCTATGTTCACAAGCTTTATGCAAACTTTTATATATGAATGGAAATTTTCTTAATAGTAATTGTTATATAAGGACAACTAAGGAGGCCGGGAAGAAGATATTTCGGAAGTTTAACATTCTTGTTTGAGCATGCTCAATGTGTCTTCAGGTATTTTGACGGCATGGGTAGTTTTCGCTGGCAGTGTGTTGAACTTTGACGACATAGACGGTGCCTCCATCACAAGTCCCCAGTATTCGTAGACTCCAGGCCATTTTGCTTTTTGCAGATACTTTCCCGGTGCAATTTCCGGTGAATCATATTGACATGGGTTTATGATCACACACACTCAGGGGAGAAAACGTGGTTAAATGCCATGTAATGTCTATCTTTCTGTACCTGAGTTTCTCAACGTCACAAGAGAAGTCGATAAGAGGTTAGCACTCCCGTTGTAACATAACCCACACACGCCGGGTGCGAATGCCCTGATTTAACGCAGACACATATGTGTCACAGATGAATACGCTGCTGTATAGATGTGGATTATAAAAAATGAATAACATCACAGAATGGTTCGCAGCGTAGCACAATGCGAAACAGGAACAAAATAAAGAACAAGCGGTGGACGCCAGTGCCTAAGCCCGTATAACTCGCTTTCGCGTGTCTCTTTTTGCACACTCGCTCTGTGGGAAGTCATTGCTTTTAGAAATACCAAGAATCCCGCCTGCAATCCCGTGTAGGCATCATAGACGCTGTGCATCACTTGAACCACTACAGACGGTGTTCCATTCGAGGAATTCATATTTTCTGTGTGATAGTTTGTGCCCTCTCGACAGTTCTTTTTTTTCCATTTTTCCTCAAGACGTCATTTTAATCAGAGCGATAGAGATTATTATTTTTCATAGCACACGTACGGTATGAGAGAGGCTGAAGAAAAAAAATTAATTAGTGGAGAAGAAGTAGACAACGCGTAATAAATTACAACGTCATAAATAACAAATCTACTCCCCGTAAATAATTTTCGAGGCATATCCTTATCTGGAGAGAAACAACAAGCAGCGCGTCACATAGGAGTATAAATTACGCGTGTCTGACAAAGTAATAATGTAACGATAGAACATGTATTACGCTTTTATCTGGTCATCTCCATGAGCGAAACTATGTAATGCATCTAGAGCACCTTGTATCGTAGAGCGTGTAAGTGGCTGCAGCTCTCGCCTGATCTTCTGTGAACTTCTGTGGTAACAAGAAAGTGGCGAATGAACTGACTACTCCGATGGGCGTAACGCTGGTGAATATTTTGTCTGTCGCATTGACAACAACATTCTTTAAAACCAGGGTGGCGTTTTGCCTGAAAATAAAAAAAAGAAATGAGAACACACGGTGTTAAACAATACCACAAGGCAGAATTTGACATGAATTACGTAAAGGTGCACGAAGGATAGCTTGTTCTCTTTTGATGGCTTGTTCTCTTTTCACGCTCAATATTAATGAGAATTGAGAGAATGGAAATATCAATGAGCCTAATCTTATCATTTTCAACGAGAACAAACTGGCGGCAGTTTCTTTAGCTAATTCCCATGGTTATCTTCACTCAAACAACATCTTTCAGATAACAATTTCAACATAGTGTCCTGATATGCTTCTCGGGTTGATTTAGAACGAATAAAAACAACATTTATCTGTTACAACGCTCAGACTCTTTGATATTCTAAACACGATACGGTAAAGTGTGAGTTGTGCGAACGTAAACTTAACAAATAAGTCAGAATAATGGACATTTAGTTTATGCATGTCAGTTTTTCTAAGCAATTTATGAAGAAAAAAACGGGACATGAATTTGGATTTCCCTCACCTGACTACGCGAGTAGACAGGGGGAGGGGGAGGCCGGTGGTAGGTGGGGTAGTTTTGACAGCGCCGCCCCCCTCCTCCACAACTGAGAATTTTTTCCTCATCATGTATATGTATATATGCAGGCGTGCATACAAGCGTGCTCGCGAACATATATGAAGTGTGGCGGAACCCCTCCTCCCCCCCCTCCCCCTTTGCCTTGCTTCGGGCTACGTCACTGGTTGGCGGCGACACGTTCCGAAGACTACGCGCACTTGCGAGTGCGCTCGTTAGTTGGGTTCACTATTGAATCTGAAAATTGCTTTTAATGCTCGTACCTCAAAAAGGAAGCTTGATGCGGGAGATGCAATAGGAGGGAGCATTTAAATCACTGAAACCCAGCTGCGGTTATAGGACGCCTCGCAACGTAGTGAGCCTTGCTATTTCAGCCAGAAGCACCTGATGAGGGGTGGGCATAAAAAAATTCTCTCTGGACAACTTCGTTCTCATGTGTGCTCTAATATCACCATAGCCAATGCGAATTACAGATTACTCATTTCAAAATGAGACAGACAGCCACTTAAGTGCTACTACGTATATACTGTTGCACACAACTGCATAAACAGCACTTCACACTTGTGGCTCAATTTAACTGCGGCCTATGTGGTTGCGTATATTCGTGTAACTATTTAGTGAACAGTCAGATAAGTTGAAATATTTTCTTGGACCCGTCGTGTTCTGCCATGGGGGTAACAGTAATAAATGGCGAAGTTGTAAGTGCCGAAACCACAACGAATTGACAACGCATGCTGTAAACGAGGCTCCGAAAAATTTTTTTTTGGATCCACTATATTTCAAGCTGCATCTATGTCTAACTATACGGGCGCACAACATTCTCGCCTCAATCGAAAATGCGTTCACTGAAGTAAAGATTCACTGTTTTTCCAGATGTGCAAAAAGAAAGTAAAACGAACAAAACATCAATCAGGAATAAGCCACAGTACGATGGCCGTTCCGGACAAAGACCTCTCACTTTCGCCTGTACTGTTATATGTTTATTCTACCCCTTCACACGAAGCTGGGAGTAAATGATTATCATCCACCTAGCTTTGGCCTTAATAGTCACACCTAACATTTGAAGACATAAGTACGGGGAGATTCGTAATCAGGTAAAGACAGCCCATCCACACAGAACAAATGTGGCGTTTAGCGTATTTCTAGGCAATGGTATCAAGAATGAGTTCCAAAGGAGTTACATTTGGCTCGAAAATGATAGAAAGTTGCTGAGAACAAAGAGGACATGCGAAATTAGGTGACTTTTTGATGATTATTATAGTCGAACCTCACAACAGGTAGTTATGAATCTCTTTCTCAAAGCAATGATATGAGTAAGCCATAAAAAAGGTGAATAGTGCGTTAATATTGGCCTTATATCTGCAATCGTGCACCTAAGTGTAAGAACATTGTACTGGCCGCAATTCGCCGATATCGCCTGTGGTTAATTCAGCTAACCTCCTGGAGCATCAGCACCCTACCTGCCAAACAACTACGGTGGCTCAGCCCGAGCTCTTTTTGTGTGTATGCAGTATGATGTACTTACTCGACAATCTCGATGACGACTTCCGCTGAAATTGCGGTCTTCACCATGGCCGTCAAGTCAGCCATGAACGTACTAACGCTTACGACAAGCGTCACGGTCAGGTTGCGAATGGTGACATTGGCATAAAAGTAAGAGCCACATTCATCTATGCGGGCGACCACGTCACCCGACTGGCGCAGTCTCGACAGGCCTTCGACGGTGCCGTTCGTCACTTTAACCCGCGCGAGTCTGGCGAACATGTCCATTGTCAGTGTGGGAAGTGGGCTCGGGTCTAACTTCATCCTGTCTACTGCACTTCGGACGGTCACGTCGAAAGTTGTACAGCCCGTACATTGCACTGCGTGTGACGGAAAGAGGGTACATTTAAAAGACAATACTATACGCTAAAACTTATTATGGCTTGCTTTCAGACAAAGAGTTCAAGGATTCAGAATACTGTGTACCCACCTAAGGCAGGGCAAAAAAAAAAAAAAAAACATCCCTGACTGACAAAAAAGATAAAACTCTACAAAAACGTAGGCCTCGCCATTCGGTGCTCGTACTCTGTATTTTACCTGGTGGTGAGCACAATTTCAAATCATGAAACTTGATGCTAAGGGTCATACAGCTGGCACATCGCTTACGTACAACGTGGAGAGTAAATTAACCATATAAAACAATAATTCTTTGTTAAGAAAACCAGCGAAAACACGTAGTCGAAAATTCAGAGCAAAGGTCACAGCGCTTTCACTTCTTGAGCGCTTTTCTGCATAGGCTCATCACCGTCGCTAAACATGCATTCTGATTACAATCGGCTGAACAATTTTACAACTAATAATTTCAGTGATCTATTGAATACACCTGCTGATTTGCTTTTAGTAAATTTAAATGTTGCAAGCATAGCCTCTATGTTGCAAGCATAGGCGTGCACACGGGGGGAGGGGGCAAGGGAGACGTCCTCCACCCCTAGTCACCAAGAGGGGGGGGGGGATCCAAAGTCTGCCCCACGCTTTGAATTAAAAACCGAAGGACTCTTCGTAAATTCCAAACTGCATTTGGCGAAAGCTATTGAGATGGGGTCGCTCAGAATGGTACGCGATGTGTGCGTCTCCTTTCTCGCAAGAGTTGGCCGCTTAAGGCTGGGCTGCGGAACGGGCGCATGAAAATGAGAGCTATTACTGGAAGAAGACGTCTGACGGAGGAGCGTTGCCGCGCGTGCCGCTGTTTCATTACGTGATGGCTGAGAGATTGTAAGGGGGAGAGAGCCTTAATACCCTCACCGATCAAGTATTTCGTGCAGATGATTAACCAGCGAAGCTGAAACATGTGGCCCCGGTGTTCATTGCGGGATGTGATCTTTCGAAGTGCCTTCTGTTGTAACCTTTGATGTTTCGGCCACTGTCTTCAAGAAGTGTGCGCTGCGTACTCTGCAATCGGTGACGTTAGCTTCAAAGACATCAAGCAAACCTAAAGGCTTTTCTAGGAACGGCGCTTCGTGCTCCGGCTGGTTTTATTCCAAGCAATATATGCAGACAGAACCCTAAGAAAAGCACTTGGAAGTGTGGAGACTCTTCGAGGTAACATCCAGGGCATGGATGGACGCAGCCGTTTACGGCGAGTGTACGAAACAAGAGGGAGGGTGCTCTGCGACCAACGTTCCTCCGCCACCCCTCCTCATTAGGGTACTTTAACCTGGAATGCAAGAATACGGCCTGAAAGGGACGCCAATCTGCTTACCTCTCATGTATACGCGGTCCGCGTTCCACAAGAACGCACGTGCACAGAGCGCGCCGCATGCGCGCTAGAGCCGTTTCTTCAACCTTCGCTAGCCTTCTCGTCTCGTATGTGCTTGGAAAAAAGGAAAGTGTGTCTGCGCGATTTGTCTATACTTCTGAGAATATGCAAATTAAACGCCCACTCTTGTAAAAACTGTGCTTTATAAAGCCAACAAGATCGACCTTTATTGCTCATGGATTATTTACTGCTTGTCAGAGCGACGCAAGGCTTATGAGCAGTGCAACACTGTCCATGTTTCGATTTGAAAAGTGTAAAGATTGGTACTTACTTTTGCTGGTATGCCGTCGTGCCAACGCCTGGACGGCGTCGTCGACGGCAAAAAATAATTGATCTTCGAGCCGCTCATTTACCTTCTTGTTAATGTATCGCTGAAACGTTTTCACGCTGTTCAGTATTCGCAGTATTGGACTGAGGAAGCGAAACTGAACCTGTAATTCCTTGGTATTGTTCATCTCGAGCCGCTGCAACATGAGCGTGTTGTTGGCCCTGGTGAAAAAAACAAACAAAAACAAGTGGAATTGGGGTGCTTCAGGGTGATCAAAATGAAGGCCCACTATGTGGTACAAAGGGTTTTTCTGTAATCGAAGTACGGGAACGTCACGCCTTTTGAATGCCTCAGATCAAAGAACACGTGCTACGTTGCGCTAAACTGAAAAAAAAAGAGTATTTCTACTTTTTCCGTAACGGCAACAGGTGGCGCTGACAGACGCGACCACGTTTAAACGCCCATATATACCTCATGAATTGGACGAGATCTATCCGCTAATATGGTTCAGTCGTAGAGCATCGGACGCGTTGTTCGAATGTTGCAGGTTCGGATTCTTCTTGGGAAACTTATCTTTCGGCCTCTTTTCCTTCTTCGCAATTGCATTACAACTACTGCTGATAACATCCCATATACAGTAGAATCTCGTTGATCCGCTTAATAGGATTTCCCGGCTCCAACGCTTGAAATTGGGAAAAAACTAAAAATGCCCCCAAAGAGGTATATGTTAATACGCTCCACTAAATATGTTCCCAGAAAGTAGGATTATTCTGCAGCAACGTTCGGCGTTGCCGTAAACTGCGGTCCGTGGGCTGAAATTCTCACTTAGGTGTGCACATCAGAGCTAAAAATGAACAGTCCATAACGATGATGGATTCCCTAAAGATTCTAGGTCTTCTCATCGATGCCAGAGGTTGTAACTCGATGGCGCTCAAAAGGCTCGTAGGGCAGGCAAGTAATGTACTAGGACTTGTAGCTCACGTTTCAAAACGCAGAGGTGGCCTCAAAGAGGACAACTCGATCGCAGCTTACCAGCCATTCTTTCTAAGGCATGTTATTTACATCGCGCCGTATCTTAATTCGGATGAAGTGGAGGAGGTCAAACACGATTCTCTAATTAGAACAGGCCTCAAGCGCGTGCTCGGGTTTCCACAGTCCACCAGCAGCAAAAAGCTATAGGAGTTAGGACTCCACAACACTATAGACGAGTTGATAGAAGCTCACACAACTGCTCAAACAACGACACTTTCATCCACTAAGGCAGGGATAAAGATTTTAGAAGATGCGGGCATTCAGCCTCGCCATGAACAGGTCACCAAAGTTCGCTTGTGCAAGGAAATGCGCACTCGTATCATGGTTGACCCCGTCCCACGTAACATTCACCCAGTGCATAATGAGGCTAGAGGAGTCGCGAGAGCCATATCCATACTTAAGAAGCTTAATTAGCACAAACTAGAAGCTCTCTTTGTCGATTATGCCAGGTATCACGGTGGGGATAAGTTCGCTATTTAGGTCACTGAGAGAAAAGACAACCTGGTCAATTCAGTCTCTGTTTATACAAAGATTTCCTATGTGGCAGAGAAAGCAGTGACCGCTCTGGGTCTTTACAGCACAAAAGCCCCTGCTGTTATCTTCTGAGACTGGCGTATGGCAGTCAGATCGTTTTCGAATGCCATTGTGCTGAACAGGCGAACAGTCCTGTGGCGAAAGTACTTTAACAAACCTGGGCGTGCAGCGAAGGAGGGTACCACAATGCGTGATTTCCAGCCCATCTAGAGGCTTCAATCAACTCACTCGCTTGTAACCCTAACGAGCAGGCTCAACGAATAGCACGAGATTTCACGGGCCGCGCGGTGGCGAGTAGCCATGTTCGTAATGAGGTCGACATTTATAAAGATCCGTTTTGTACTTTTCATAAAATTGTTTCGCACTACCGCCTTGCCAGGAAAAAATTTACAGCCCACCACCCCGATTCGACCAAGCCTCAGGCGAGCATATTCAGACTACTTCAAACCCTTTTATATCCTACTTCTCGATCCCTTAACCGGATAGACCCCGATCATTCGCAGTCGTGCCCCAAATGTGGCCACGACTCATGTTCTTTTGATCACATGCTCTGACTGTGTCCAGCCCTTAATGACTTTCCGCCCACCATGAAGGAGCAATGGGATGCATCTCTGAAGAACAGCGTCCTTCATACACAACTCCAGGCCGTCCAGAGGGCCCACGGCATCGCGATGGAACTTCGACTTGCGGTCCCATCGTGGGTGGAGTCACCGACTTGGTATGGCGGTAGGCATATGGTTCTCCTAATTATCTGTTTTCAGTACATAAATAAAGTTCTTGTCATGTCAAGCCACGTGCTTGTGAAGGTGCCTAGTGGCATACTGCCGCCGCACGGCGTCGACAGCCACTTTCTGAGACAAGCGTCTAGCATGAAGAATGCGATGAATGAGCTAAGTAACACTTCAGTACAATCATCCTTGACGTTTGGATTCCGAAGGAAGTACATGATAACCCAGACCTCGAAACGTGTGATCAGTTTCTAAGCACATATTATGGTCATTATCACGTCCTGTTCACAGTTCAGAAGCCTGGTATTCTGCTTGCAGCTTGGAGGACTTCGACTGAATATGCAGCTGAATATATTCTGAGAAAAGCCTGAATCTGAGCGGCTGAAAGGGTAGGATGAAGCAATTCACGCTTACTTCAAGGATGTTCATGCAAAAAGAGTCGCAAAAAAAGCAAATTCCGGGGCCCTAACTTGAACTAGCTGCGGCATTGTTTTGTCATGCGCTGGTATGCAGTGATTACTAGACACCGTGCCGTCTTCAGCACTTCGTCCCACGCTGTTAATATGGTAGTCTCGGGATATTGAACACCAATAATAATCATAAAAATAATATTTAATATAATAAGTGAGAACAATACTAGGAATAATACTTATTATTATTATTATTATTATTAGTAGTAGTAGTAGTAGTAGTAGTAGTGGTAGTAGTAGTATTAGTATTATTAGTATTATTATGTCTTGCAAAAATCACATTTTACCTTAAGTGTTGAATCATGGAGTAGACGCAGAATTGCAGACGCAGACGAAAGGAACATAGATTGCACAGAACGAGCGTGACATGCTTCCCTCATGTAATATCAGGTGAAAGGGTATGTAGTATCAAGAGAAAGGGTGAGCAAAAACTTTGAAAAAAACATTTTTTTGTGTGATTTGAAATCCAGCAATTTCTAAACCAGAATCACTGGTTTGTTTGTCTTGAAGGACAAGCAAAAACATTGATAAATAAAACATTTTTTTTGTATGATTCAATATCCAGCCTTTTGTAAACCAGAATCACTCGTTTGTTTCTCTTGAAGGCTAAGCAAAAACATTGAAAAAACAACTACAACAATTTTTGTGTGATTCAAAATACAGCCTTTTCTAAACCAGAATGACTCGTTTGTTTGTCTTAGTCCTGTTTCTTTCCTTTAAAAATGACATGTTTCGAAAACTTGTGTGGCAACCTGCCATGAATTTCTTTCTACGTAGCAAGAGACTCCTTCCAGTTCAAGCATCGTAGCCATATGAAGAAGCTATAGTTTTCAAGCTGGAGTGCATTTGGCACATTCAAAAACAAATGAGCCCAGAACTGCGAAAACGAAAGAGAGCATAGGCATTAAGGTTTCTGTCGGGAAACCTTTAGCTGGTCGGAGACGTATTAGATCTGTTATGATTGGCAGGCCTCAAAGCTATTACCGTTTGGCAATCAAAAGAAATAGAGCCAACACGGAGAGCACGCGAAAAGCTTTCCAGTCCACATATTTTCACATAACATCGAAGGGAATACCAATCAATCCGACGGCCTTTGCTCGAAGGACGCCGAAACTTTGTGTAAGTTCTACAAAGCCCCTTTGAATGCTGAACCATTCATTCATAAAGAAGAGCTTTCAGCATCTGTGATTGAGAGTGTTAAGCCAAATTATCTGGAACTAGCTCATCGAAAAAGACTTGCTAAATGCTTCCATGGAAAAACTCAAAAATCATAATGAGACGTTGGTTTGTCGCGTGGAAGCGCACCCCAAAAAACGTTTTCCTCGGGCACCAAACACTGTAAATATGCACTCGTGATGCTGTTTTCACTTTTAATGATGGCAATACAGCCAGTGTCAACGCGATGCACCAATTACGAAACTCGCCAGGGCATTGCACAGTGCAGGGCCTACGCACCCTCTAACTACGTCGACAGTACTGCGCTGACACGGCTGCATAGCAGGCAATAAATGAGGATCGCCAGGCAAGACGTATCAACACAAAAAGAAATGAAAATAACAATATTAATGAGTATCTGGCTGGTGCCTTTTGAACGGGTCCTTCAATCTGCAGTTATCTTGTTCTAGTTTTGAAATATACCAATTTTTATTTGAAATTCGAATCATCTCAAAACGCGCTTTTTTTGCGCATTTGTCTTTTTCTCAACAACCCCAGTACCTAGAATTATACATTTGGTTAGTATCGGGTAACGTAATGGGGAATATGCGGAAGCAGAATTACTGTTGTGTGAGGAAGTGCTCTTCTGCAACACGTCGACATCAAACAGCTATTATGGAGTGATATTTAGGTACCTGAAGTAAACAATTTACAAAAATGAGCATTAAAAGTTCCAGTGTTTAATATTTCTGTAACAAGAAGACTGGCTCAAGATCGCGATGATAGTAATTTGATTCTTGTAGCTTTTATGGTTATCTAAAGAAAGGTACATAGACTTAGCCTAAAATACAAGGCGGGTATAAGGCTTACCCTGTTCCTTTGAAGTTGCGCATGTGTTGTTGCTAAGTGATTTGTTTCACTGTGAAGCAGAACGGAAATGTAAGCTAGTTGATGCTGATTCATAATGCCCACCCTCCCCAAAGAGAGGGTTGTGGTGTGTTCAACTTACGAGGTGTGTTCTTGTCCTGGCTTCATCCTTCTGCCTTGCCCACGATGCGCATGCGCGGGAAGTACTGGAGCGTCAAGTTTTGATATATATTTTCGGTTCAAACAATGAAGTTTTGAGTTGTTAGTAGGCGCTTGGGGTTTTCACTTTCTTTCCATATTTTTTTAGGGGTGTAGTTCATCATGCGTGGCTTGTGCGTTCCCCGTTGTCGTAGTGCGTAACCTGGGGCACATATCCGCATAGCAGTGGTGCATACTCGCCATCGGGCACGTATCCGCATATTGTCTTGTCTCTTG